GTGTCACCCTGCAGGGCCGGGACCCGGGGGCAGCCCCCGCAGGCCGGGGCCGTGCAAAGGCTGCGTGAGCCCCCGCCCGGGAGTGGCCCTGCCGGCGGGGACCGCCAAGGTGGACACGTTGCCAGGCCGCTCTGGCTCCCTGGAAGTGCGGGTGGGCAGGGTGCCAGGCAGGCGGGTGGGCATGGGGGAGTTACCTGCTGGCTGGGCTGGTGGTGCAGTCGGACTCCTTGTGTGCGCAGCAGCGAGAGGGGAAGGGGCAGCGGGGCTTGGGTAGTGCATGTGTCACGGGGCCGAGACCCGCAGGAGCTGCCTGCTCCCTCCTTGTGCCAGCTGCTCTGTGGGCCTGGGGGCTTCAGGCTGCAGGTCTCACCCCGGAGCTCCAGAGGGGCAGCAAAGTGCCGGTGCCATGTGGGGCTGCCCAGCCACTGCCACAGGTGACAGCCACGGAGCGGATTGTGCTGTCACCCAGTGCAGGGCCTGAGCCTGACACTGCAGTCCACAGCCCTCACATGGTGGCTGGACTGGTGCCTGCCTGGTGGGGAGGGGGCACAGCACTGGCTGGGCGCATGCCCGAGTGTCACTTGCAGCAGGGCCCCATGGTCCCGGCTGGGGCACGTGGCCCCGGGCGACAGTGTGCAGAGCCTCCCTGTCTCTTCATTGTGGCTTGGGTTGCGTGGGGCCTGCAAGAGACCTGGTGTCATGAGCACGGAGGGTGATGTCTCCTCCCCTCTTGAGGGGTCCTTTCTGCTGCGCCCACCCCACCAGCATGCTCCTTGTCTGGCAGCGGCTGGACTCTGCCCTGCGCCCAGCCCTGCTGCAGCTGTTCCCACCTGCCCGCCCAGCAGTGTTTGTCTGGGGTGGGGGCTGTTCGCTGTGCTGATGGCAGCTGGCTGGCGCACTAACCAGCCTGGCCCATGCTCCTGCCCCGGGCCCTGGGCTCCCTCCCGGGGCCTGTGGTGCTTTCTCAGCTCATGCACAGGACACCTGGGTTCTGCGAGGGGAGTAGGGTCTAGTGGTAGCCGGGTGGGGGGGAGGTGACAGCCAGGACCCCTGGGTTCTATCCCTGGTCCTGGCAGAGGAGCAGGGTCTAGTGGTTAGAGCACAGGGGCAGGGGGCTGGGAGCAAGGACGCCTGGGCTCTATTTCCAGCTGTGCTGCTGACTGAGCAGCTTTCAGCAAGCCTTGTCCTGTCCTTGCCTCAGTTTCCCCCTCACCAAGTGAAGCAACGTCCTCTTGCCCTGGCCTGCGGAGGGATCAGTGCCTGGATCCGGGCCTGTCTGAGCCTGCCTGTGTGTGTGGGGGGAGGGGGTGCTGGGCTGCCCCCTTCCCCCACCCCAGGGCAGAGCTGCACGGCAGGGGGAGGGTGCGCCCGGGTGCAGGAGCAGGGCTGCGCCGTACAGAAGGGGAAGCTGCAGGGATGGGGGGGGTGCGGGCTGGGCCCAGAGGCTGTGGCCACGGCAGCGTGATTGGGCTGGCGGTGCCATGTGAGCAGGGGGGGCAGGGTCGGGAGGCATCGTTCCGGCTGTGTGGGAGGGAGCTGGGGGGGCAGATGTGGACCGGGGAGCGTGGTGCTGGCACCCGGCCCTCAGGCCTTGCTGGGAGCGGGGGCAGGTGCCCAGGAAACCCTGCAGGTGTCTGGATTGAAGCAAGGGGGCATGGAGCTGTGGGGACCCCAGACCCCTCCCCAACCTGGCTTGGGGCCCTGGTGGGGCAGCCTCCTGCCTGGGGCTGGACCTGAGGGGCAGGGGGCTCAGGGACATTGTGCCCATGCAGGGTGGGGGTGCGCTGGGCTGGGCCTGGCCTGGCGTGCAGCCCTGGGAGCTGGCTGGAGCTGCAGCTGCCGCCCGATGCGCTGAGCAGGAACCGCTCCGGGGGGGCGGGCAGGCGGGGGGTGGATGATGAAACCGCAGAGAAATCGTGGCTGGGTCCGCCGTGCCGTGGGGGGCGTCCCCCCCGTCCGGTGGCCGCCATAGTAACCCCTGGCACACGGGGCTGGGCTGGATCAGGGGTGGCATGGGGGGCTGGGGTCCCATGGACTGGGCACCTTCCATGGTGCCCCCTCCCTTGGCAGATGCCGCAGCCTGGTCTGGCCAGGGGCTCATTTCACAGGGCAGCAGGTGCCCCGGTGAGACCTGCCAAGCTTGGCTCCGTGGCTGACAGGCGGTGCCAACTTGGGGCAGAGGGAATGGTGACTCCCTGACACCACCTTCCTGATCCACCCCTCAAACCAGCGTCCAACAGCCCCTGTGACAGGTGCCACGCTGCAGCCTCTGTCCATTCCCCAGCCCTGCCCATGCAGCGGCCGGTGCCCCCAGGGAGCGCCCAGCGTGCCGGGGCGGGTGGGAGGGAAAATGAAAGCAGGTGATGCGGAAGGAGAAGTAGGTCAGGCGAGTGCTGGCCTCGCCGGCGGGTGGCTGGGGCACGCCGCGCAGTGCTGCCAGGCTGTCCCTGCTGCTCCGGGCCCCATGGGCAACAGCTGGCATTGCGGTGAGTAGGCCCAAGCTGGGGTGCAGCCCCCACCCCCTCCCGGGCAGCGTGATGGGCCTGCAGCAGGCCTAGGGCTGGTC